GGTATAAAGGAGATATTACACCAATCTTCTGCTGCCCCCCTCACTTTCACACTGCAGCTGTGGTAAAATATCTTTGGCGATTTAAGCACAGACAGACTTTAAATCCTTATGTTTGTCCATCTTCAAATTCAGATGAAAATTGTAAGTCTTATTTATTTTTTTAGTGCGTTTTTACAGACCAAGGTCACCCCCAAAGCGCTTTACAATGTTCAGATATTGTTCCATTCTCTCCACACGGTGATGACAGAAGCGAGACACTGAACACACTGGTCCATCAAAGCCTCCGACCAAACACCATCCAATCACTGATTACATTCAGACCTATTGTGCATGTTTTTAGTGGTAGGGGAAACAGAATCCTGGGAGCTAAGCTGTCTGGGGCTTCATGCCCCTGGTAGGGCCTCCCATGGCAGACAGGTCTCAGGTGACGAGTCAGACAAAGAGCAGTCCAGAAGACACCATGGACAACACTAATATGAAAACAGTGACGTCGCCCGGCATGGCGCAGCCGGGGCCCCACCCTGGAGCCAGGCCTGGGGTCGGGGCCCGTATGCGAGCGCCTGGTGGCCGGGCCTTAGCCCACGGGGCCCGGCCGGGCTCAGCCCGAAGGGATGACGTGGGCAGTCCCTCCTGTGGGCCCACCACCTGCAGAGGGGTCCGTGGTGAAGCGGTGCTGAGAGGACTGGGCGGCAGTCGAAGGCGGAGACCTCGGCGACCCAGTCCGCACACACAACCTGTTCCCGGTGAATGTTGGCCTCCGACAGGGCTGCCCTTTGTCACCGGTTCTGTTCACTGTATTTATGGACAGAATATCTAGGCGCAGCCAGGGGTCGGAGGGGGTCCGGTTCGGAGACCACAGGATTTCATCTCTGCTGTTTGCGGACGATGTTGTCCTGCTGGCTCCAACAAACCAGGACCTGCAGCATGCACTGGGACGGTTTGCAGCCGAGTGTGAAGCGGCTGGGATGAGAATCAGCACCTCCAAATCCGAGGCCATGGTGCTCGACCGGAAAAAGGTGCCTTGCCCTCTGCAGGTGGGTGGAGAGGTCCTTCCTCAAGTGGAGGAGTTCAAGTATCTCGGGGTCTTGTTCACGAGTGAGGGAAGAATGGAGCGTGAGATTGACAGGCGGATCGGTGCAGCGTGCGCAGTTATGCGGTCGCTGTATCGGACCGTTGTGGTGAAGAGGGAGCTGAGCCGAAAGGCAAGGCTCTCGATTTACCGGTCAATCTTCGTTCCCTCCCTCACCTATGGTCATGAGCTTTGGGTAATGACCGAAAGAACGAGATCGCGGATACAAGCGGTCGAAATGAGCTTCCTCCGCAGAGTGGCTGGGCGCTCCCTTAGAGATAGGGTGAGGAGCTCAGTCACACGGGAGGAGCTCGGAGTAGAACCGCTGCTTCTCCACGTCGAGAGGAACCAGTTGAGGTGGCTCGGGCATCTGTTCCGGATGCCTCCTGGACGCCTCCCTGGGGAGGTGTTCCGGGCACGTCCCACCGGGAGGAGGCCCCGCGGAAGACCCAGGACACGCTGGAGGGACTATATCTCTCAGCTGGCCTGGGAACGCCTTGGGGTCCCCCCGGACGAGCTGGAGGAAGTGTGTGTGGATAGGGAAGTCTGGGCGTCTCTGCTTAGACTGCTGCCCCCGCGACCCGGCAACAGATAAAGCGGAAGAAAATGGATGGATGGATGGAGGGAAACAGGAGCACTTGAAGGAAACCCACGCAGACACGGGGAGAACATGCAAACTCCACTCAGAAAGGCCCTGTTCTGACTGGGATTTGAACCAAGAACCTTCTGCTAACCACTCAGCCACCGTACCTCCAATAGGTCTGAATGTAATGAGTGACCAAATTTGCTGGGAGAAAGTGAAATAATCTGTTTTGGTTCACGGGCTCCGTTAGTGGCAAAGGAGATGGCTAAAGCTAGGCTACATGCTAAAGCTAGGCTACATGTTAAATGCCTCACTCACTCGGGCTCATTACATACGTCACGGTAAACTCAGATCCAATGGTTTCAATCTGCAAAAGGAGTTAACCCCTCCCACCTGTTAACGGAGTCAATGGAGACAATCCAGACCTTAGTACGAAATGAAATGAGTACCATGGTGTGGTAAGACCAGGTTAGCGCAGACCTAGGTAGCGTGAGATGGATTGATTACAGAGTGATATGATCTAACAGGAGAGAAAGGAGATCGAGCCTCAGCTTAATGTTTCCATGCATCACTTCTTAATATCATATTTTATAACTTGTCTTCATTTCTCTTTACCGTAAACGTCTTTCTCTGACGACCGGGACAGACTGAACAAATGCCACGTCCACAACATAAACATATTCAAATGTAATTAAACGGCGAGATGAGTTGGTGATCATCCGTCGTTGTCTGGTGTCTGCCTCAGAGGGAAGGGACCAAACGTTAATGGAGAAGGTTAAAATATGGCAAAGAGAGGCCAAGTATGATGTCATGTCCAAGGTCATGGAAGCAACCGTCAAAGAGTAAACTGGAATCGTTTTGGAGCTGGAACAGAACGTACAGAGCTTAAAGACCTTATGACGGGTTTGATTTATTTAGAAATACAGTTTTAATACCATTTTATATTAGAAGAGAACTACTAAAGGTTTCAAAATCAGTTGTTGTTTTTTTTGTCTGATCCCCCCAAATCGAAATAACCCCATAGCAACACCCTTAAAAACGAAAAAACTTCCCAGCCCTTGGTGACGTCAGAGTGGGTACGTTTCAACGCTGTAAGTTGTTTACAATTTGGTATTCGTTCTTTTTTCGCGGATATTCAAGATGACAAGGCCGTGTACAGAGAGTCTGACATAAATACTAGAATGTAACATTTCGTTGTCACTGAGATAGTCCAGTGTTTGTGTCGATGGACTGTCAATCCAGATACTGGGGTTCAAATCCCACCTCAGACACATTTTCACTCTCAAAACGGCAATTTATGTGTAGTGAGCAATTGTCACCTGTAGAGGGCAGTATTGTGTTGGGCATCAGTGGAGAGAAGAGAGAAAAGGCAGTCCTGTGGCATAGATCCATGGTTTTCAATGCATGGGCGTAACCCGCTGTGACGTCACACACAGGTTAGAGCATAGACAACTTAAATTCATGAAAAACACGTTCTTTTTATAAAATATAGGATTTTTTTTGCCGGAATCTCTTTCAAATTGACATTGTCATGCAATTTTGATATCCACTATTTTTTTTTTAAAAACCCGTCATAAGGTCTTTAAAACTAACTTACACTTTAGACCAGAGTTCACCTAAAGTCTGTAAAGAGTCACTGCAGACATGTTCTGACTGTGTCTTTAAACCAGATTCTCCAACGGGACAAAATGATCTTGTTTTAAAAAGATACAGAAATGTCTTCTTTGGAATGAGGAAACACAGCAACAGTTCTTGAAATCAGACTAAATGGCTTCGTCCCGTTGGAGAATCTTGTTTAAAAACTGCCAGAATGTGTCAGATTAGGATAAAAAAATACCCTGGTCTTATCCATCCGTACTCTCCGGTCCATCATCAGGTCCTGCCTGTAACGTCTGGGTCTGGTCCCTGTGTTTGCGATTACAATCAGTTGAATTGCGACCGACCAATCAGAGAGCGCGGGAGGCGGGTGTTATAGTTAGATGTGGGAGATGTCAAGAGTTTGCGTCGAACGGCAAGGTCGTAGTTTGGCGAAGAATGCGGTAGTAAAGTATTCCGGTCTGGTTCTATCAAGAAACTGAAGCCGGAGCAAGAGGAATGTTTAGCAAATGTAATCGCTGGAAAGATGTTGTGGCAAAGGAGATGGCTAAAGCTAGTGTTGTATTTATAAATACGTGACATTCTAAAACCATGACTCTGAGGAGCACAGGGACAGGACCCTGCGGGAACTCGAGGGAGCACAGGGACCGACTCCTGCTGGGACCGGAGGAGCACAGGGACCGGACTCCTGCTGGGACTCGGAGAGCACAGGGACCGGGACTCCTGCTGGGACTCCGGAGAGCACAGGGACCGGACTCCTGCTGGGACTCGGATGGAGCACAGGACCGGACGTCGCTGCTGGGACTCGGGAGGAGCACTGGGACCGGGACTCCTGGGGGACTCGGAGGAGCAACGGGACCGACTCCTGCTGGGACTCGGAGGAGCACAGGGACCTGGACTCCTGCTGGGACTCGGAGGAGCACAGGATCCCGGGTCTCCTGGCTGGCACTCGGAGAGCACAGGACCGACGCCTGCTGGACCGAGGAGCACAGGGACCGGACTCCTGCTGGGGACTCGGAGGGAGCACAGGGACCGACCCTGCTGGGACTCGGAGGAGCAACAGGACCGGACTCCTGCTGGGGACTCGGAGAGGCACAGGACCGGACTCCAGCTGGGACTCGGAGGAGCACAGGGACCGACTCCTGCTGGACTCGAGGAGCACAGGGACCGACTCCTGCTGGACTCGGAGGAGCACAGGGACCGGACTCCGGCTGGGACTCGGAGGAGCACAGGGACCGGACGTCCTGCTGTGACTCGGAGGAGCACAGGACCGACTCCTGCTGGGACTCGAGGAGCACAGGGGACCGGACTCCTGCTGGACGCGGAGGAGCACAGGGACCGGACTCCTGCTTGGACTCGGGAGGAGCAAGGGACCGGACTCCTGCGGACTCGGAGGAGCACAGGGACCGGCCTCCTGCTGGGACTCTGAGGAGCACAGAGGGAGGAAGCAGGGGGGGGAGGGGGGGGGGAGGGGGGGGGAGGGGGGGGGGGGGGGAGAGGAGGGAAGAGGGGACGGGGGAGGGGGCGGGAAAGATAGGGGGGGACGGGAGAGGGGGGGAGGAGGGGGCGGACCCGAGCGAGGGGAGGGGGGAGGAGGGAGGGAGGGGGAAGGGGGGGAGGGGGGAACCCGGACCTCCTGCCTGGACGCTGAAGGAGCCAGGGACCAGACTCCTGCTGGGACTCTGAGGAGCACAGGGACCGGACTCCTGCTGGGACTCTGAGGATCACAGGGACCGGACTCCTGCAGATGCC